GAAAAGAAGGAAAAAAAGTTTACATATACCCCGTGTTGATGAGGGCTCAATAAATCACATATAACACATAACATTAGCTGTAAGATATGCCTTCATTTTGATGAAATGGTTCTATTTCCAAAAATCTATTCTGAGGATGTAATTGGATATACAGAGAAAAGTGGGTGTACAAAGGCTTTCAGCAAAACCTTACAATAGAAATAATACTGTAAAAACAAACCACACTTTCATCACTTGAGAACCACTTAAGTATTTTATGCAAATATATAGTAATCCATTAAAATGAATATTTCTGAAGAAGACTTGGAAACAGAAAACATTTTTCGAAGGTAGATAAAGGATACAGTTTAGTGATGAAGAAATTGGCATTGTAGAGAATTGTTTTACTGCTATCAGTTCCAGGGTTACTCACTTATCTTTTGCTGCTTCCCAGGGGGCACTGTAGTAACTAATCCAACTGCCAGCGCAGGAGGTACAAGAGATGCAGGAGATACGGGATCCATCCTTGAGTCAGGAAGATCCCCTAGAGTAGGAAATAGCAACCTGCTCCAGTATTCTTACCTGAAGAATCCCACGGACAGAGGAGCCTGGCACGCTACAGTCCATGGGGTCGCAAACAGTCAGACACTGAGCAACTGACTGCACAATTTCAAATGGAGGCCTTTCTTGTTTTTCTGATTGAGAGACTAAAAAGAAATTTAAGGTAACCTGTAACAATTTATTGTAAATTTCTGTGGCTTCAGTGAATTGCATTTTAAGTGGAAGGCAAGTTTGTGGAATGATGTCATATTTGTTAAAATTTAAACAAAAGCAAATTGTCCTTCAATTGCTAATGACTGTAGTATATGCAGTTCATTGTATTGTTTAAATAGATTTCAAATAACTTCCATGTAATTTGTAATCATTTTAGCAGGTGGCTTGAGGTTAGCAATCAATAAGCACATGAAAGTGTTGCAAATGAGGCTCCAGGATCAATAGAACATTCTTCTTCCCTGGGAAACACAGCCTACTCAGATGGTTGTCCTGGCTGTTCTTTTCTGTTTTGTATTTATTGTAGATACATGAGCACATTTTTTATGAAAAAATTGACAAATTAGGGAGGTAGACAAAATGTCTCTCAGCAGCAGCATGACAGGGATGCTGTTTGTTTTAAAGAACGTATCCTGAGACAGGCATGTGTGCTAAGTCGTTTCAGTCGTGTCCAACTTTGCCACCCTATGGACTGTAGTCAGCCAGGCTCCTCTCTCTGTCCATGGAATTTACATTCCCAACCCAGGAATCAAACCCATGTCTCTTATGTCTTGCATTGGCAGGAGGCTTCTTTACCACAAGGGCCACCTGGGAAGCCACAGAGAGGCAGAAGCACACATATAATTTGGTACAGAGGCTAAAATGGCAGTCAAGCTCTTAATCTTTAACCAATGGGTATGTGTCATCACAGATCCCCTTTCTTTGGCACGTATTTTTAAATGTATTACAAAGGCATGCACTCATATTAGTATGTGGAGTTCCAGAAGAACTATACAAAAAAAAATCTTCACAACCCAGATAATCATGATGGTATGATCACTCATCTAGAGTCAGACATCCTGGAATGCAAAGTCAAGTGGGCCTTAGGAAGCATCACTACACACAAAACTAGTGGAGGTGATGGAATTCCGGTTGAGCTACTTCAAATCCTAAAAGATGATGCTGTGAAAGTGCTGCACTCAACATGCCAGCAAATTTGAAAACTTAGCAGTGGTCATAGGACTGGAAAAGATCTGTCTTCATTCCAATTCCAAAGAAAGGCAATGCCAAAGAATGCTCAGACTACTGCACAGTTGCACTCATCTCACACGCTAGCAAAGTAATGCTCAAAATTCTCCAAGCCAGGCTTCAGCAATACATGAACCATGAATTTCCAGATGTTCAAGCTGGTTTTAGAAAAGGCAGAGGAACAAGAGATCAAATTGCCAATGATCTACTGGATCATCAAAAAAGCAAGAGAGTTCCAGAAAAACATCTACTTCTGTTTTATTGACTATGCCAAAGCCTGTGACTGTGTGGATCACAACAAACTGTGGAAAATTCTTAAAGAGATGGGAATACCAGACCATCTGATATGCCTCTTGAGAAATCTGTAAGCAGGTCAGGAAGCCACAGTTAGAACTGGATATGGAACAGACTGGTTCCAAATTGGGAAAAGTATATGTCAAGGCTGTATACTGTCACCTTGTTTATTAACTTATATACAGAGTACATCATGAGAAATGCTGGACTAGATGAAGCACAAGCTGAAATCAAGATTGCTGGGAGAAATATCAATAACCTCAGATATGCAGATGACACCACCCTTAAGGCAGAAAGCAAAGAACTAAAGAGCCTCGTGATGAAAGTGAAAGAGGAGAGTGAAAAAGTTGGCTTAAAACTCAACATTCAGAAAACTAAGATCATGGCATCTGGTCCCATCACTTCATGGCAACTAGATGGGAAACAGTGGAAACAGTGAGAGACTTTATCTTTTTAGGCTCCAAAATCACTGCAGATGGTGACTGCAGCCATGATATTAAAAGATGTTTGCTCCTTGGAAGAAAAGTTATGACCAACCTAGACAGAGACAAAAGCAGAGATATTACTTTGCCAACAAAGGGTCCTCTAGTCAAAGCTATGGTTTTTCCAGTAGTCATGTATGGATGTGAGAGTTGGACTATAAAGAAAGCTGAGCACTGAAGAATTGATGCTTTTGAACTGTGGTGTTGGAGAAAACTCTTGAGAGTCCCTTGGACTGCAAGGAGATCAATCCAGTCCATTCTAAGGGAAATCAGTCCTGAACATTCATTGGAAGGACTGATGCTGAAGCTGAAACTCCAATACTTTGGCCACCTTAATGGAAGAACTGACTCATTTGAAAAGACCCTGATGCTGGGAAAGATGGAAGGCGGGAGGAGAAGGGGATGACAGAGGATGAGATGGTTGGATGGCATCATCAGCTCAATGGACATGAGTCTGAGTAAACTCCAGGAGTTGGTGATGGATAAGGAGGCCTGGCATGCTGCAGTCCATGGAGTCGTAGAGTCGGATATGACTAAACAACTGAACTGCCTGACTGACTGATTACAGTTTATTTTAAAAGACACACACAAACAAAATATGTAGAGTTTTGTTTTTTAAAGGCTGAAATAAAACATTACCTCATGAATGTTAGCTTCACTTTTGCTTCTTAAGTATTGAAACATTTTCATTACTGATAATTATTGGATATATAGGCTTCCCAGATGGCTCCAGGGTAAAGAATCTGCCTGTCAATGCAGGAGACATAGGTTCCATCCCTGGGTCCAGAAGATCCCTTGGAGAAGGAAATGACAACCTACTCCAGTATTCTTGCCTGGGAAATCCCATGGACAAAGGAAATTGGTGGGGTACAGTCCATGGGGTCACAAATGAGTGGGACACATCTTAGCAACTAAACAACAGCAAACAGCAACAATGGGGGTATAAGTTATTTCATGAAAAATAGATTTCATAATCTATTATGTATAAAATAGATTTTCATATATATTGTCCTCCATTCCCTTGTTAGACAGAAAGTAGACTTGTATATATTATTAAAGTTCATTACCTTGCCTACAGATAACATGTGTTCCTGCATATTTCATCACTGTTTAACATGAAAGCATTCTACAGTGTTAAAAGATATTAAAGTACTTTTCTGGTAAAGAAGTAAAACGAGAAAGATTCAAGGAAAGAAAGAATCCCTCTGTTGTTTGTACACTTGTTTTCTGGAGAGATACTGTAGGAACCACCTTTGCCTCTAGCTAACTCAGTATTCATTAGGGGAGGAGACGACCTAGAAATTTACAACAGAAGTCAAGACTGGGCTTAGGATAAACCCATGAGAAGAGCTGTAAACTAGAAAGAAGCATTTAGGAATAAGAAAAGTGATTTTAAAAAAAGAAAAGAAAAGAAAACAGTATGCACACCACCCCAGTGGGTGATGCTTAGCAATTTCCTCTTTACTCATGTAAATACTCAAAAAGAAAAAAAAGCTCTCAACTCTTGTGAACTAAAAAATAAGTAAAAAATAAGACAGCCAAGAAGGAAATTCTCTTAATTTTGGGCTTTGGAGGCTGCGTGGGTCCAGCTTGCCGCCTACCCTGAACTCCCTTGGGGAAATATTTCTTGGGAAGAAAATGGTCCGCCTCCCCGCAGTCGTCAGAGCCCTGATTCCCAGAAGGTGTAACCACGCGTGGCTGGGACGGGGAGAAAGAGGGGCCGCTCCTGTTGCACAAGCGCAAAGCCGGAGCAGCATCTGCTAAGATGCTGCTGGAGACCAGGGTCTGACCCCAGGGCTTTAGGTAAATGCAGAGGAATCCAGTAGAACCGAGGGTCTCAAGCTGAGGAATCGCTAGCTAGGATTCCGCGCGGACTTCACTCTATTTTACAGATTGGACTCTCCAGTCACAGGGTCGTGACCAAGCAAGCCTCCGGGAGTGACAAGCTGGGAATCACCGCGCCGCAGTGACCAACAAGTAAGTTATTGCCAACTTTGCCAATATATATGACCTTTTCTCTAAACACTTTAATCTGATTTTCAGGTGTGAACACCATAGTGATGGCCAAAAGATAACTTTTATCCTGAAATCGTCAGTAGGCTGATGGGACCACCACCACCACACACACACACACACACACACACACACACTCAATACACCCCACCTGGAGCAACCGGACCTCGCGCCCCTAGGCTGGTGAGCACTTAGGGGGATTTGTTTCAAATTTGGAAACTTACTGATTTCGTCGGAAAGAGCTAGCTGGATTGAGGGTGGGTGGAACGCCGCCTCGTCATTTATTCATTGCGACTGTCTCCATTGTGGACACTAGTAGCGAGTCGCAGACGCCTGCTCTTGCAGGGGAAGTCTGACACCTTGAGGACGCGAGAGGGGGTGCCAGGACCCCCGGGAGCCGGAGAGGGAGAAGCTTTGCGAGTTACCGGGTGAGGAGAGTGGGGGGCTACTTTTTCAAGTCGGGGGACTTGCCGCGCGGGGCTTGTTTACTTGGGTGGGAGCAGGGTGATCAGCGGCCGGGTTCTGACGCGAACCGAAGTCGGACAGCCTTGGGGGGAGCCCGGCCGGAGCCTGGAGGTGTGTCTGGCTCGCCTCCAGGGTCGCAGGGTGGGGTACTAGCCACCGACTGGACTGGATGACCGCTGGCTTGTGGTGAGCTCGGCTGACCCCAAACATCTGGCCCCGGGGCGGCGGAGCTCTTCCCCGGGTCCTGCCCTCGCGCGGGTCCACCTCCACCGCGGCGCAGAGCGGCGCGTGGGACGCGCGTCTTTCCGAGTGGTCCCCTCCGAACCCGGGCTGCGCTGACCCGGAGTCAGGCCGCCGCCGGAGATGCAGGGAGGGGTGCCTTCCTCTTGGTTCGTCGGCTGACTGCCGTGGGAACGCTAACTTTACCGGGAGGGGTCCTTAGGGCCGGGGGTGGGCGAGGTTCTCCTCCCCTGGCGCTCACCTCCCCCTCGCCCCAGGCCCTCCCCTCCCCCGCCTCGCGCGGCATCACTCTCAGAGCATCCTCACTCCGCCCAGTTCGGTGCCAGCTGCGTGGGCTCCAGCTTCGTGCGTTTTCCTTGGAATGCTCGGAAACTCGGCGAAGACTAAGGAGATCCCGTCGGAATTTGCCGGGCGTGCTGGCACCGGGCAAAGCACTCGCGCCGCCGGCCTCGACTGCAACCCCCTTCAGCCAGAAGATCGCAACTTTGCAGGTAAATAGGGTGTCGTCTAAGAGCGCCATCTGGCCGGAGCCGCACCTCCCCTCGTCTCTGGGGTCTCGGTTAAGTTTCTCAAGCTGCCTGGGAAGCCGGCTCCCTTTTGGGAGGCGGACATCCCTGGGGGTTACTAGGTCCAGAGGCTCGGGCTCTGCGGGGTTTCTCTTTAGGGCTGAGGACCGGGTCTGAGAAGCTTTCTGTGGTTGACCTGGGCTAAACGAGAGTTTGGGGATGTTTCTCAGCATCTTACTGCAGCCGGCTTTAAAGCAGCGGAGAGGGCAAAGGGTGAACCCCCGGTGTGACTTATATGGTAAGCAAAGCAGCAGCAGCCACGCCGTGGAGCTGCGGAGGAAGGCTGCTTTTAGCCTTCTATGCATTTGGGGAAGGTGGGGGATCTTGATGGCCCCTGGGCGCATATAAGGGAGCCCTAGACTCTGGTACCCAAACTGGGGTAATAAAGAAAGGACGGTGGTCAATATCCTGTCAATTAAACTCTGCGTCATTTTCATTCTCTATCAAAACACGGAAACACTTTAATCCGCGTCCCTGGACCCAGGCTAAGGGATTCCTAGTTCGCTTGGCTACTGAGATTCCAATTAAGCCAATGACCCTGTTTGCTACTTGGCTGAATCACTGAGATTCGCTGCACAACTTGTTGTTCTAGCTGAGAAGTCGGCTGCCTTTTGTGATGAGGTAACTAGAGAATCCTGGAAGGGGATGGAGGGCTGGGAGAGACTGAGACAGGGAGCTCCGGGACGTGCCTGTATTCACTGCGCTGTGTTCACTGTGGTGTATCCCCGTTCACGTGCTTCCGTAGGGGCCCCCTTCTCAGTTAATACCCATAACTGTAAGATGCAGCAAGTTGGCTTACTCTGAGTAAGCACCAAGCTAAAAGAGTGGGAGGAGGCAGAAACAAGGTTTACTCCTTTTATTAAAAGGAAATTTACAACAGACTTGTAAAATTGAAAAAAAAATCAGTTCTCATATAATTTCTGGATTTCCTGTTCCAGTCATTGCTGCACAAAACATATTACAAATTCTATAAGTGAAGATGTTGGCTAGAGTTTGTTGTGTTTTTATTTTTTTTAAGAAAATTTCTGAAATAGGGAGAGGAAGAACATGTGGATACGTTAAAACATTGAAATCATGGGTATTGAAATCATTGGCTATTTAAACTTAGATGGTAATACTTACTTCTATACCCACTTCTAGTCACCTGGACAGTAGACCAAGACCTCTCCTTTTACGTATGGTAGGCAAAAAGTCAGTAAGATAAAGGGATGACTAGTAGTTTGAATATTAGAATCGAAATTCTGTTAGATAAATGCTTGCTAAAGAAGCACTTTAAAGACTATGAATTAATGTAAATCAGCACATGAATAGAAGTTCCATTGGCTTTATCAAAGCATTTTATGCAAATATCTTGAATTAATGGAGGGTTAGTACAGGTAGTAAGAAAGCAAGCACTTTTCCTCATTCCTGAATGAGCCCATTGACCTGCAGAGGCTTTCAGTGGAGTTCTGATCAGAGCTCAGTTACTCTGTTAAGCTTGATGTTGTGAACTGAAGAGCCAATAGATTCATGCCAAGGAAGTTACACATGAAGAGAAATACTAATAGGTTAATGAAATTGATGCATAAGAGGTGCTTAATATTCACTGGGTGAATAAATATATAGTTAGGTAGGTAGACAGCTTAAATAAGGCATAGCAAGGCATAATTGCAAATTTAGAGGATTTCTTCCATTTAGGTGAGAACTTAAAGGAACATGGGCATTCATCAAAGCTTAAACTAAGTGCAAGAGATGTAAGGCATGTCTCTTTAGTAAAAACTGTCAAATACATTAACTCTCTTTCTGAAAAGCTTGGTTCTTGAAAAATATGTTTCAGTTTACTTGCTTCATGGTCACTCTCACAGATACAAGAAGTGGAGTAAACTTCCATTACTTATAAGCTTTAAAGTTTTGTAATTTTACATTATTTACGTTTCTATGGCAGTTATTCCTGAAAAGTCAAGATCAGATTGCAAAGGAAAAACCATTAGAAAACTAAAGTTCTATATGAATTCTATGGCTACCTGGGTTATTGAAGGTGTAAGAGATCAAATAACTTTCCACCTAAGTTTGTTGTTTAGTTACTAAGTCATGCCCAGTTCTTTGCAGACCCTGTGAACTGTAGCCCACCAGGCTCCTCTGTCCATGGGACTTCCCAGGCAAAAATACTGGAGTGGGTTGCCATTTCCTTCTTCACATAAGATAACCTCTATTAATTCATATTTTATATAAGTAGGAAACACCAGACATTGCTTTTATTCTTTCTGATTAAAAGAAATTTGCATACCTAATTCAGTACACACATTTTAAACTTTTAAACTTAAAGCTTATAATAAATGTGATAAATTTCTATTGAAGTACAAAAATAACCATTATGAATGTGCCAATTAACCTCTCTGAATTGAAAATATTTTCATAAATATGTTGCAGAAAATATTGTCATGATTTTACACCTGCATGTTTAATTGCCAGGATAATTTATGACAATTCAGATCATTAACATATTTAGCAACTGAAAACATACATGATCTACCTTTTCTAATTAATTCATTTATGAAACAAAAATAAAAATAGGTACGTTTTTGTTCAGTAGTTAATATTGTGACTATCAGTGCTCAAAGAGAAAGGATTTTGTAAATAAAGATAGCGAAGAAATGATAAACACCAGCTAGGAAAGTAAAACTGTGGATTGAATATTTTCTTATGAAAAAATGTGAATGTTTTATTTCTAAAAACAAGCCAGGTGAAGGGAAGTATAAACTATTAAGTTTTCTTTTTTTCAAAAATCATGATTGCCAAACATTCCATGAGATCAGATTCTAATGTCCATCTTTTCTTTCCAAGTTGTATTGTCTGGGCCAAACTGAAACTAGTATTATTCACCTCTTTAATATCTATGGAAAACCCACCAGAAGCATTTTGGTTCTTATTAAAAATGATGTTGAAGAGACAGCTCAAAACAAAAGCCTTGTCTTTTCACCTAATTTATGCTTCATCACTCCCCACAACATGCGTTCATACCAAATAAACATTACAACTGATTAGTTTAACCCAACTTAAACTAAACATTTACTTCTATCTAACTGTGATGAGAAGCTGTTTTGGAACTATTAATATCTTTCCTCTCCTTATGTTTCCTAGTTCTAATCCTCCAAGTTGCATTAAGACCTTAATATTTTAAGAGATTTGAGAATGTTTTGATCAGGATTGTAATATCATGGCTGTATCTATTTAGTCAGTGCAAATATAGACCTGCTGTGTGAGAACATTGATACTACCAAAATAATGCCTATGATGAAAAAATACAAAAAAAAAAAAAGAAAAAATACTTGCAGAAGAAGAAGCTCTTCATTTGTGAAACTGAAAATTAAAAGACACATACATTGAAAATATATCAATTTGAAACTACGTGGTTCCATGAACTATTCAGTACATGGAGTGAAATACTTAAGTCTCAATGATTCTTCTGAAAGTTGTTTCACTTAAACAGGTTGTGAAAGAGAGATGATAGCTTCAGCAGTTGATCTTTTCTTGTCACTAAACTGTAGGTGATAGCCCATTAATACAAGTGTCGATTAGTCAATGCTTTGAAAAAACGTTTCCTTTGAAATACGGCCGTGTCATTGAGTAATGGCTTCTTGAGAAGCAACAGATGACACATGGGCCCAATTTTACACATAAAATTCAAAATGTTAAGTATAACATTAAGGCCTAAAAATAGGCCTCAATAGCTTTATCTAGCACACTCCATTCTTTTTGAGAAATGGCAAGTGAAATGTAATGAATCAGATACACATTCATTATACTCTGCCTGTAGTGTGCTATGGTCTAAAAATGTTGAAAAGTTACCATAAGTCATTTCCTTGAAGAAATATTATCAATAGTAAAATTTACTTAAGACAGGAAGATAAGAATTATTACCAAAAAAATAAAGTGGGAAAAAGTGAGTAAGTGAATATTTAGGAGTACTTGAAACATGCCAGGAACTATGCTAGAAACTTAAATTTTTTTATCCTCACCCCTACCCTAACACTAAGGTATTATTGTTAACTTTTAAAGAATCTGATAAGTCTAAATTACCACCAAAAAAAAAAAAAAATCACAGAGTTTCTTTGTGGTAGAGTCAGAATTTGAACCCATGTCTACTTGATTTTAAAGCCAATATTCCTTTTACTTGATTCTTATGGTTTCAAAAATAAAATTAGTAATCTTTTAACAAGATCCATGAGTTCATTGGATTTGTATAGCCATTTATTTATTTAGCTTTTCAAATGTTGTAACATTGGGACATAAATGACCCCATTATAACTCTAGAATTTGAAACAACACTGTGTTAACTAAGGCTCTATCCGTTTTGAAGCAGAGTAGGAGATGAGATACCCAGCTCAAGCCAATTGTTCTCAAAACTATTTCCTTTCTTACTCTTGAATCTAAATGGAATGTGTGTGGAAAGAAAAAAAAAGCTTATTTTCATGGATAAAATTCTAGATAATAGACTTTTAAATAGTTATGAGATTATAATTTCTAAATAAAAAATTGTCATTCAAACCTTGAAAACATCTGTAGGCTGTTGATAAGATGTCTTTGTTTGTACAAAACACAGTCATGTTAAGACAGGTTTATGTTACATCTTATCAGTGTTATATGAAATTTCTAAAGAAGTGTTTTTGTCTTAATTTTAATTGCTTAATTATTTTGCACGTCCCTTGGTATTTAATGAAGGGAGCACTCTTTCATGCATCCCAAAAGACATGGTTCAGCTGGTGGCACATTTTAACACATTTGCCATTAAAAAAAAAAAACATACACCTCCATTTAAAACCAATATGCTTAAATCCAAAAATCCGTTGACATTGAAGTTGAGGAAATAAATTTTTTAAATATTTCTCATATATGACAAAAATTAGCACTGAAGTGATACCTATTCAGTAGATATTATTTGAATCTTAGTAAATGGATAATTGAATAAATAGATGAGTGACACATGAATTAGATCTTCATCTTTGCATTTTCTGGCACAGCTCCCTCTCTGCAGAATAACTTCTCTCTTACTGCTTCCTGTCAAAATGTTCTCCAGGCACTAAACCTAGCTCAGTATCACTGTCTCCTTGAAAGCTTCCTTCATGTCTCCAGGTGTCTCAAGTATAAATACAAGCAAAACCCTTGTTATAGTCTACCTTACAGATGGATAGAG